TTCTACTCCTCCTTCACTGACTCACTCTCACCAAGCATTAAAGTTCACTGATGGATGGCGTTTGTGTGTGCTATCATAAAAACAAACACTTAATTCTGCATTGTCATCTTTAACTGTCTGCCAAAATAACACCCATCAATAATGCCTCGATACATCTTCTTTTGCTGATAACAAACACACACAGGCATACTATGAGCTTGGAAGAGAGTTGAGAACATTCTATTAAAGACTATAACTTCTTACTTGCAGCTAACTCCTGGTGAGATTAATTCATGTAGTCATGATAAATTAATATTGTTTATGACACTTCAATCTAAGGTCAGCTTTTCTCAGCAAGAAAATGATTTGTTGTCAAATCAGAATTTCTTATTTATTTATTAACTGAAATACATACAATTTGTGGTCAAATATTCTCAAGTTAAGACCAGGATATAGTCCGATAAAATCACTTTTAGTATAAAGAGCTTTGAAAAAGGTACAAGACTGTGTATTTTTAATGAGGAAAAGAACTCCAATCCCATGAAGCATGACATAATGGAATTGAAAATGATGGAGAAATTTAAACTATTGATTTAAAGTTGTAAATTATATATAAAGAACCAACATATTTTAAGCTTATTGCAAAATATACACATATACAGAAGTGTTTATTTATTTTAGGAAGCCCTCTTTGGTACAATTTGCTAGTTGCAATTCTCTGATTGGTGGAGATTTCCTTGCAGAATCATGGGTAATGTAGTTTAGCCAGGAATTGGTCTGTTAAACACGACTTCTTAAAAAATAAGCTGAAATACTGCAACAAAGGAATATATGTATTATCGGTTAACAACCTCGTTACTCACAGTTTATGAGTTTTTGTTAAAAATCAACTTCAAAATCAAATGGGATTTTTAATTTCGGCGCTCTATATAAAGTGATCATTCACATGCCATTTTCACCTAACCCTAACTAAAAGTGCCTGTGAAGCAAATATTGCAGCATCTTGTGTTCTCCAGACAAACAACAGCCATTGAGACGAATGGATCACTTTCTTTGGGCATTAGAAACACCCGCTGCATCACTGGCTTTCTAATCTAAAACCCAAGATTCGAAATGAAATTAACAGAATTATGTGACTTTAAGTGTTTATGAGGGATAAAACCACTTCTGACAGCAACTAAACTAATTACTCATGAGAGAATGCACAAAACTGAAAGCAATATCTGCTAAAAAAAATGCTGTTATCAGGGGATATTTATGAACCAGAATATTCCATTTCAAATCCAATGTCAATTGTTGCAGCTAGAGGAAAATTAGGCTTTTCGTCGTTCTAAGAATGCACAATGGCACAGAATTGCTGTGACACCTCATGCAACTTGCATGAATAAACATCTCGGGGAAAATCACACTGCTGTGTGCTGTTATGCGACGCTGTTGGGCTTTCGCGTGTACATTTTGTTCATTAATTTAGCTAATTTGTACAATATCACTGAGAAAACAAATATAATTCTTGCATTGACACAGCTGTCAATTGATAAAGCCACATCCATCCATCAATCCATCCATGCATCTGTTTCTCTAATCATATCTCCACCTGTTCCCGGTGCATGTGAGCGTGTTATTTTTTTTTGGGGTGCTCGCTGACAGTGACGGCTTCAGAAATGATGAAATGCAA